CCCAAGATTGTATGTACAATAGAGATCGGTCTGGATCTGGATCCAGTCTGGATTTTTCCTGGATCCAGCTCAAAAATCCTGTCCAGGTTACTAACCAAATATCTCAATTGATCCAGATCCAGACTTTTTGAGAATACTGATTTTTAATGTACAATTGCGATATTTGAAATTAGGTATTTATTTTTTTCCCTATATCTGATCCCAGCTTAGAATTTTCTTAAATAATTTTTGCAAAAAAAAGTTTTTAATTCATAATAAATTCATGTCAGACGTTTCAAATAAGTAAATAATTAGTTTTTTAAATTTAAAGTTTTTTTTGTGTTTTGTAATAAGTTTTTATTTAATATATTTTAATACTAGGTCGGTTCATAAAAAAGTTCGTTTTTTGTTATCGCAAGTTTTTTGAGTGATAACTACTTTTATCCGATTTTATTTTTATTTTATTTTGTAGCCCAGAGTCTTAGCTTTATAATGATACCAAAATTTTAAAAATATCAAAGATCAAAAAAATTTTATGCCTTCAGAAGTGAGAGTGGGTAAGGGGAATATTTAGGGGCAGTTACACATACCATTAAAACTAAGTAATAATGCAATATTGGCATAAGGAAAAATCAATGAAATGATAGGCAGGGATCTTGTCTAACCTAGTGTAGCTCAAAAATTTTTCAAAAAAATTCGATCTGGGAACAATAGGACCGAACACAAGCACGGGTCGTGAAGATGACCGACTGTAAACAAATGCGTCCTTGCTCGCCGGTTAGAAAGATATCCGGATATTTTTTTATTAGAATTGTAGAGGGGACATTGCTCTATAAGTACAATATGGCAATTGTCCGAAAAAACGGATCTTGAGCCGAGGAGGACAAAAGGAGTAATGCACCAACCTACTGTGAGACAAAAACAACAGGGACTTTTTTTTAGCCTTTTAAGCCTGGATAACTATCGAAAGGGTTATTCATGGAACCGGATTGTTACCTAGGTTTAAACATATGCCAATTACGATAATAATATACAAAAAATTATTTGGAGGAAAAAATATTAAGACCCTCTTTTGGTCCCCCGCCCACCCAACCACCCAAAAAACGTATGTTGTGTATTCTTTTGGATGGTGCTCGGTCCGTTGATGACGGAGGTACTTCAAATTGGTACCACTACAAACTCCAACATGCATATTAACTAACTCACACAGGAAGATTTCGTTTGTTACTTTTAACGTCGCTAGGGACTGTTTACTAGACCTCTGGTTTTCCATTAAAATAACGCCCCTTTACACCACTCATTTTTGATGACCTGCCATGCCCCAAATAAACTTTGTTGGAAAGTGTTACCCCACCCCCCCTTGTAGCCCTGAGTCTGCTCTATCAGATTAACATCATTTCACTTCTTCAAAAAAATTTTTACGGGACGGGCACTTGACTGAAGACGCCAAGGTCGAGACTGTGGTGGGGAAGACAGTGCTTCAGAAATGGGGTCAGATTTTTTTAAAAAGAGGTATCCACGAACTTTTTTCTGGTTTAAGAATATTGTTAAGACTCGGGACAATTATTTAGTAAAGTTAGATTTTTTATCTGTTTTAGTTTGCTTGAGATTTATCGATTTTTCTTTGAAAATAAATTTTTGAAAAAAACGAACTTTTTTATGAACCGACCTAGTAGTATTATTTTTTTATTTTTTATGTAAAAGTCTCTAAAATTAAGAGAGAGAAGCATAAACAAACAAAAATGTTTTGAGAGAATTTTCAAGTAAAAGCAGGTAACTATAGAGAAAAAACAAAAAAAATAAGTTATATATTTTGCTAAATACAAATAAATTTTACAAAAAAGCAAAAAAAAAAAACTAAAAAATTTAAATCTTGAAAAATAAACAAAAAATGACAAAATAGGTGAGGTATTTATGAATAGGGTTGGGGGCCCGATCCGGCCCGGTCCGAAAGATCGAGACGGGCCTTGAATTTTGGCCCGAAAAAGACTCGATCGGGCCGGCCCGAAAAAAATGATTCGAACGTCGGCCCGATTCGAAAACCCCAACCCTATTAATGAATATTTTTATGAGATTTATATTCCCAAGTCTGTTAATTTTAAAACAATACCTCCTAATTATAAGTTTAAAATCTTTTGTCATTTGTTTTAGTAGTTTGTATTATTTGAATACTTATTTGAGTAAAATAAGATGATATCCGAATGTATTTAAAATTAACAAAACTATTAGAATAATGAACAAAATTTATTTTCATATATACATCAATGAAGAATTTAAAGCTTCAAGGTTTTCCTAACTTTGGCGGCGGGGACATAGATGGGGAACATCTCTAGTATTTATAAAAAAAATTCATATAAAAATAGAATATATTTAATTCAAAAATAAAAACAAAAATTCATTTTTAAACATTAAAATTTTTTTCTATTTCTGAAATAAAATTTTATGGCAAAGGTTTTTAAATAAAAAGAGAGAAATGAGAGTTGCGCACAAAAGTGAATTAAAAATAAACAAATATTTTTATAGGATTATATTTCACTAAAATTTGATTTAAAACAAGTTGAGAATTTAAATGTACTAGTAAAAATATTTGGTGAAATTAGTAAAAAATAATGAAAATTTTTTTGTTATACATATTTTTGATTTTAAATTACAAATTAAAAATTATTGTTAGACAAAGAAAGGTTGCCAATATGACTCGTGTTAATGAACGAAATAATATAAAATTCCAATATCTGCTTTTAATTTATGATTGACGTTTAATTGTCTAATCTTATATGTATTTTTTGACGGCAAGTGGTATACCTTTATGAAATTTCTGCTTGCTTTAAACCCTGCTTTGAATGAAATGCAGATCTTTAGTCAAATTTTGGGTTGAAAAATGTGAGGAAAGAATTAGGGTTGCCCGTTTTGAGTCGGGCCGGTATGAGTCTTTTTCGGGCTAACCATCTATGCCCGACTCGATCTTTCGGTCCGAGTTTGTCCATTTTGGCAACCCAAGAAAGGATTATCCTTTAAAGAAAATAATTTTCGAATTTTTAGACTAGAAGATTTTAAAATTATCAGTTAAATCAAATTCCATGTTTTCGCCTAAAATTGGCATTTTGTTTTTAATTATTTAATTGGCGAAATGTCTTTTTGGGAAAATTTTTTGTTGGTCTTTTGGGTATTCATCTAAAATTTTTTAATTAAATTTTACAGGCCCAAATGAATTTAAATAATTTTTCTAATTTGTGGATTTTTCTTTTAATATTTATCAATATTTTAACAGGTTATTTTTAAATTTATTTGAAAGATTTTCAAAAAAATTTTTTTAGGGTCATTAACTTTTGCCGATCTTTTATGTCGTTATTGTGGGCATTCGGTTATTTTTTAAAGTTTTTTTAAAATAAAAATATTTATTTAGGTAACAACAGCTTCTGCATTAATTAATGTTAAAAGCCCAGCAGCTTATGATAATTGGAATTTGACTGTTTTGGGTGTTGAAACAATTGTTCAAGTAAGGGAGGTTTTTTAAACTGTTCTTGGTTTTGTGGTTGTTTATTGATTTTTTGGCTTTTTAAGTATTTTTTGTAAGTCCTAGCAAGGCCTTGTTTTTAAGGGCTAATTTTACCCTTAAAAATATGGGTGTTCCCCTTCCCTCGGAAGTAGGGGAATTTGAGATATTTCTTGAAAATTCCCTCCTCCACCTGTGTCCCTGCCAGGGGTGTGCCGTTTCGTCTTTCGCCTTTCGTCTTTCGCCTTATTTTCGTCTTTTTTGGTGTTTCGTCTTTCGCCTTTCGTGTTTCGCTTTTTAAAATGACTTTCGCCTTTTCGCCTTTCGTCTTTCGCTTTTTCGGGCGAAAGGCGAAAATATTATACACCCCTAATGACAGTTATGTGAGGAAAAGTTGGTAATTGGGAGAAGAAAAGAAAGAGAAAAACTGAGAAGAGTGGGGATAAATATATAAAATTTTCTTTATTTACTATAAAGTGATTGATGGTTAAGTGGTTAAGTTGCTGGACTTCGACTAGCGTCCATTCATTATTGTTAGGTTCGAATCAAAATTTAGGGACAAGATTTTTATTTATTATAAATAGAATAATAATCATAATTTTTCTTTGCAAAAAATTATTTTTTTAATTTAAAAAGTGAATTTTTCGTGCCTTAGACACCTTATATTTTCAAAATTTTCGCCTGCGGCGCTGATTAAGGAAGACCTCAGTATTTTATTAAAAATTTAAGTTACGGATCCGGATATCGAAATTTCCGTTTCGGAAATTTCCGTTTCGGACATTAACTATATTCTCAATCGACGATTTCCAATGATAGGAAAAAATAAAAATTTGAATTTGCCTTATACATCCTCTGATATCCTCCTAAATCACTCTGAATCCTCTGATATCCATAATTTACCGGTTAATAATGATATCACAAGATTAGGAGAATTTGCTAGAAGATTTGAAAATAGTTAATTAACCAAAGCTTTGGTTTAACCGATATCTAGGGATTTTTCCTCATTACAGTTATTTCGCCTTTTCGTCTTTCGTCTTTCGCCATATTTTCGTCTTTTTTGGTGTTTCGTCTTTCGCCTTTCGTCTTTCGCTTTTTAAAATGACTTTCGCCTTTTCGCCTTTCGTGTTTCGCTTTTTAAAATGACTTTCGCCTTTTCGCCTTTCGTCTTTCGCCTTTTAAAATCTGTTTCGGCACATCCCTGGTCCCTGCCTCCTCGAAAAACTTTCCCGTTGGTTCTCCCCCCCCCCTTGTCGGGGAACAACCCTTCCCAAAAATTTTCAACATTAATTTCCTTTTATTTTGCTAATAAAATTTTTTAAAAATTTTAGACGTTCAAAAACAGCGTCCGTAAGTTTATTTATTCGCTTTTTCAGATTTTTTTTTAATATTTAGCTGAGACTTACAATTTAATTTTTGCAAATGGGGCAGATTTAAAATTTTCTGGAAAAGCACAAACTGCAGAAACTTGGTTTTTTAAAATAAATTTTTGATTAATTTTATTTAAAAAAATTTTTTAAGGTTTGAAGGAATGTCTTGGAGGCCTTGTGTCTGTTCTGCTTGTAATACACACATTGGATGGTATTTTCAATCTCCAGAAAAGGATTTTGTTGGTCTTGTTATTGACAATTTAATAAGTGAAGATTGTTTGTTTTTTTTATTTTTGTTTAAAATTTTTTGTCATTTTTTGCAAGGGATATTTTGAAATCCAGATTCCATTTTCTCTTTCACATTGTATACGTCCCAACCTATTCTTGGCAATTAGCCAGGAAATTATAGAAAATTTGATTGATTTACTTTCATAATTCTTACTTTGAGAAATTAAATGTGCCCGAATAAATTAGAGATCGAGCGGGTCTGGACCAAGGCCTAGGGTTTTCCTGCACCCAGAGTTCAGACCCAGGCATTTTTTGACTTTACTGAGTTTTTCCTGGTCCTGGGCTTTTCTTGGATTTCAGGCCCAGGATCCGGACCAGGCCAATAAATCAAACCCGGAACCCAGGAACAGGCCCAGGCTTTCAAAAATCACAATCTCTAGAGTAAATCCTACAAAATAAACTCGTTAAAATTAACACCTAGGGGTTTGCACTTTTTAATTTTATTCGGAGAGGGTCTTTTTTACTTTTATTATTATCAAATCTTTTTTTTTTATTATCAAATCTTTTTTTTAAATTTAGATGTGGATACTCTCACAAAAGTCCCACTTCCTCAAAAACAAATTTCAAAAGATGCAGAAAGTAAAGAAATGGTAAAAGATGAACTTTAATTTGTTTTGGAATTTTTGTTAATATTTTTGCATTTATTTGCCTACTTCAATTTTTCTTTAACGGTGAAGCCCTTCTACTCAAAAATTGATATTTAACTTATTTAAATACTCTTAACTTTTAATATTTTTTGTTGTATTTTTTAATAAAAATTTGGTTTTAAAGGGTGTTTTCTAAATTAATTGTTTTCTTTACAATTTTATCTTAAACTTTTAGATTTATAACTTTTTTAAACATTTTTTAAGTCAATTCAATTTTAAATTAATTAAAATGCCTGGTGTTATCTACATTCAATCAGTACCTCCAATGTTTACAGTCAAACACCTGAGAGAAATTATGTCCAGATTTGGAGAACTGGGAAGAGTTTACTTACAAGGTTTTTTTTAATATTTTATAATTAATAAAAATGGGGCCTGTTAAGAGATAAGTTTTATACAGGGTGTGGCTGACTAACAATAAGAGTAATTTTTATACATATTTGGATTGTAGGTTTACACATTTGGTTAATCTAAAATTCTCTGTAAAAATCTAAAAAAATTAAATGTTGACAGTTTAAAAATTTCTTTGTTTTTATTTCTTAACATCCTTTCTCTCTTTAATGATCTCGAATTCAATTTCCTTCAATTCTTTACATTTTTGTAATCTTTCAAAGATTATTAATTCAAAATCTAATTTTTTTAAATTTAAGCTGAAAAACGTGGACCACATAAACGTAAACGCTACACTGAAGGATGGGTGGAATTTAAAAGCAAAAAATGTGCAAAGGTTTTTTATTAAAATTTTTTTAAATTCCAAAATTAAAAAATATTTTAAAATTAAAGGAAGTTGCCCAAATGTTAAATGGAAATCAAGTTGGAGGAAGAAAACGAAGCGCTGCCTACGACAGCGTTTGGACTATGAAATACTTGCACAGGTAAAGAATAATTTTAATTTTTTTTTAAATCTTTAAAATTTTATAAAAAAATAAAAATTAAGTTTTAAATGGGAACATTTAATGGAACAATTATCTTATGAAAAACGTGTGGAACAACAACGTTTGAGAACAGAAATATCTTTTGAAAAACGCAAAGCAGAACATTTTTCTCAACAAGTAATTTTTTAGACTTTTTAATTTTAAGAGTCGGGGGATATTGGTGATATTGATGGGAAATGACCAGTGGGACGTTAGTGATATTTGTGGTTAAGTTGGTAATGGTTGTAGTTTTAAGACTATTTTTATCCTACCTTTCAAAGGTTTGAAACCCTAAGAAGCTTATTTACTTTTGTTTACTATTTAATTTATTATAATGAATTTTTTAATGTTCTATTAGTCTAAAAACCAATTAAAAATATTTTTATATTTTTAGGTAGAAAAAGGTGAAAGACTTAAAAAATTGGAAGAGCGCGTTTTAAAGAAATCGGGACTTTGGAAGCGTTATTTAATGCAACATCATCAGAAAAAAGTTATTAATGAAAATAAATTGGAGAAATCGAAGCAATTGAGCGGGGAAAAGGACTTTTTACAAATGATTTTTGGTGGGAAAGAAGAACAAAAGGAAGAAAATGAAAAGGAAGGTGGAGGGGGAGAGGAAGAAGAGAAGGAAGAAGAAATTGTGGAAGAAGAAAAGGAGGTAATTGAGGAAGATGAAGAGAAAATTGAAAAAACAAATAAAATAATTAAAAGAAGGAAAAATAAAAATATTTTGGTTAAAAAGAATAGAAAAATTAAAAAACATTTATGATATAAAAATAATATTTTTGGTATGTTTTTCAAAAAATTGAAAAAACAATCTTCTTACATATACCTTTTCGTAAAGTTTGAATGTAAATGTGTAATAATTTAAGGTTTTTTAAATTGATTGCTAAAAAATATGAAAAGAAAACTAAAATTATGTAGATATTATTTAAAAATTATTGAAACATTGAAAAGTTTATAAGGAAAATCCTTAAACCAAAATATTTACATGGACAGTATCCGAATATATTTTTATTTTTTTACGACATTCAGGATTAGCTAAGGATTTACTTTGTTCTAAAGCATAGCTATTTAATTCCTAAGGCTGTGCAGTAAGCGGCGGGGTGTAATGGATAACACATCAGTCCGGTCTGCTGATGATGCTGGTTCGCTCCCAGCCGCCGAATAACCTTTTGCTCTAGCTAAAGGAGAGAAATAGCTATAGCCCAGCTGCTTTACTCTATCAAAAATTATAATAAAGATAATTTATTACCAGATAATTTCGTGTTTGTTTATATTTAAATATTTTTAAAAATTATTTCAACCCTTTTTTAAGCTCCCCAATCCAACAAAGAAATATTTATTTTAAGCAAAAAAAGTTATTGAGGGCATAAACAGCTGTTGTATTTATAATATTTTCTTCTTCCAGCATCACCTTTTACTCGATCTTCTTTTCTTGATGACGTTAATAACTAAAGAGGAAAATCTTCTCTTTTATTTTTTTTAAAAGATTTTATTTTTCCATCTTCTCCATCTGTCTACTAAAATATATTATTAAAGTTTTTTTACAATTTCTTTCTGATATTTTTTGTTGAAAATATATATTTAATATACTAATCTATCTTTGTTATTGCCAAAAATATAAATAATTAGATATTTATTTTGAATTATTTTGTATGAAATTTGATCAAAATTAGAAATTTTTATCAGAAAATATTTTTAGTGTTATTTACAATTATCGAAAAATAAGCTCCGAAAAGTTCGTGGAACGTTGCAGAAAATTACTGACTTTTTTAATCCTCTCTTTCTCTAATTAAACTCAATTCCTTTTTTTATAATTTTAAAACCATTGTTTATATTTAGGATTAATTTTTTTATTAAAAAGCAATTAAAATAAAATAATTTTTTTCTTATCAGAAAATACTTTTAATACAAATTTAATTTTCATTTTTGCTCACTTTTTCCTTTCATTTTTTTATTAAAAATTGATTTTTAGTTAATTTTTAATTTAATTTCTTAAAAAAATATTGACGTAAATTAAAAGAAATTATTTAATTTATTATCTAATTGTTTGATCTATTTGATACATATCATCTGATTAAAAAAAGGGAAAAATTAATCACTTTATGTTTTTAATATTCCTTCTTTTCACTCTTTTTATAAATATTTTTTTGATACATGGAAGAAAATTAATTAGAAATTTTAAAATCTTATTGACATTGAAACAATTATTGCAAATTCAATGAACATTTCTTTAAAATTATCAAAAAAATTTATCAAACTTTTGGAGATTTTTAGTGGCCTTTGTAACGATATTCAATTAGTAAACATTAGTGTTTCACCGGAACCGGATCCATTTTGGTTCCGGTTCCCGGAACTTCCGGTGAAACTCTAGTAAACATGCCATGAATCCAAACGGTTCCTTCCAAAAATAGGCTAAAACAAATTCTGGGAAATGGAGGATAACTTCTCAATTAACGTCGATATATCTGTTAATATTTTATTGAAAATCTCTATTTTTATTTTTTCTTATTACAAAATACCGAAAAGTAAAATAATGTATGAGAATTTTTCAGTTACTTATTTTTTAATTTTTTTAAAGTTTTGTTGCAATTTATTATTATTTTTTTTCAACAAATTTAAAAAAATTGATGGATTATTCAATAGAGGACAGAAAAAGATTAAAAAGTTTAAAAACAAGTAATGGGTTTTGTTTGTCCTTGCGACATCTTCTTTACTTCCCTTTTGTTTTTCTTTCACAGGTGTTTTTTAATTGATATTATACACAGTAATAACTAAAGTTAAAATTATAAAAAAATTTTAAAAAATTAAAAATATTTTTTATGTAAACCTAATATTTTATAATAAAAATAAATTTCGAACAATATCGAAAACATGTACCCAAAAGTTTAGGTTTTATAAAGGAAACTGTTTTTGACAATTTTTTTAAAATTTTATTAATCAAACGGATTATCTAATTGTAAGGATAATAATTCTCTTTTCCAAAAATAATGACTCTAAAGGAGTTGCAAGAAACATCTTAGAGTTAGTGATCAGAAGATTGGAAGTGATCGGACGATCACTAACTCCAAGATGCTTATTCCAACTCCTTTAAAGTCATTATTTTAATATCATTATCCTTAGAAAATCCGTTTGGTTAATAAAAATTAAAAAAATTTTTCGTACTACCGATACTACTCAGAATGGGGAATAATTTAAATAATTTTAATTATTGCATTAAATCTAAAAATAATTTTCATTAAGAAAAAATTTTTAGTATATGGTGTCAGCAGCTGTTTATGTAAATTTATCTGATGGTTCCCCAATATTTGGGTCATTTGTACAAGCAGCTACAGGAAAATATATTTCTCAATTTTTGGGTGTTCCTTTTGCTGAACCACCTATTGGTTAATTTTTGGATAATTAACTTTTCCCAAAAAGTAAAAAAATTTAAACTTTTCTAAAATAGGAAAACTGCGATTTCGACGGCCTATTCCGAAACGTCCTTGGCGGGAACAATGGAATGCTACTAGTAAATGAATATTTTTTTAAATTAATTTTTAACTTTCAAATAATTCGTAGAAATTTGGGAAAGAATATAGGTACTAAATTCTGGTAGGGTCGGTGCTTTTCTTAGTACTTTCATCTAGGTAACGGCCAATACTATCGCGCGAGTTTATCATAAAAACTCGATTGTTCGGTCTCTAATTTAAATCACTTGGGATGTCTCAGGTCGTTGAGGACGAGATCCAAATATTTCTATAAATTTCTCTTAGATTCCTCCACTCTGGGATGGCTACGGCAGTGGGGTTTTAGTTAAATATAATATCTCTTTTCTATGAATTTCAAAGATTTGGCGTTGATGGGCTTTCACTTCAGCGAAAATTAATTTAAAAATTTATTAATTTTTCTAAGCTTTCCGTGACTCTTGTGTTCAATCTCCAGATACCTATTTTGGTGATTTTTATGGGGCTACAATGTGGAATTCTAATACACCCTGTTCTGGTTAATTTAGAAAAAAACCTTTATGAATTTTGAATTTAATTTTAGAGGATTGCCTTTATTTAAATATTTATGTTCCCGGTGAAATTGATCGAGAAAAACGTTTGCCTGTTCTTTTTTGGATTTATGGAGGTGGATTTTGGAGTGGGACGGCTTCTCTTGATGTTTATGATGGGAAAATATTTGCGGGGTTAGACTGGAAATTTAATTTTTATGGGATTTTTCCATCTACTTTTTAAGGCTGGGGGTTTCGAGTCGGGCCGACCAAGTCTTTTTAGGGCCAAAACCGGGCGGATCGCGCCCCCAACCCTACTTATTTTAATTGAGATAAATGGGAGATTTGAACAGTAGGAATATGGGATATGTTAGGTTTAGTTTAAATATAGGAATCTTTATAGTATCACACATTTTTTGGGGAGAAAGGATAGAAATTATTTTAAATTTTGATTATTTTATAGGGAAGAAAATGTAATTATTGTAACTGTAAATTATCGTGTTACTGTATTTGGTTTTCTCTATTTGGGTAGAGAAGAAGCTCCAGGCAATATGGGTTTATGGGATCAGCTACTTGCTTTAAAATGGGTATATAAAAATATACAAGGTTTTTAAAGATAAATATAGTTAAACCTCTATTTAACGTAAAACCTCTATATTACAGACTTTTATTTAATAAAAACGGAAAGTGAAAATATTTGAGTGAAGGGCAAAGAGGTAAAAAAGGGCTGCAAAAACGGAGTCCAACAAAGATGAAAAAGAGGGCGTAAAAATTGGGGAAAAATACGGTGATTTTTAGAGGTTTAACTTAAATATTAATGAGATAAAAATTAAATTATTCCTATAAAATATGTATATTATAGTATTTGGAGGTGATCCTTCCTTAATTACTTTATTTGGTGAAAGTGCTGGAGGAGCTTCTGTTTCCATGTTTTTATTTTTTAAATTTTCTTAAAAAATTAATTTAAAGGCATATGTTATCACCCCTTTCTCAGCCTTATTTTACTCGGTCAATTTTACAAAGTGGAGCAGCTACTGCCCCCTGGGCAGTAGAAAATAAGCAGGTGGCGAGCATTTAAACAAAATTATTTTTGAAAAAAATTTTTTTATTAAAAATAAATTAAAGTTATTAAGGTAGCATTGCACAGAGCTGTTATTTTATATGGTTGGAAATTTTTTTTAATTAAAATTTTCAAATTTTCGAAAAAATTTTCAGTTTTTTACCATTTTTAATTTATTAAAAATTAATTTTATATTTTAAAAGAATATATGAAATGCGGAAATGGAAATATGTCTCATTTAGCCCCAGACCAATGGAATATGGACGAGGTTTTGAGATGTTTGCATGAGGCATCTGCTGATAAACTTAGGTGTTCTTAAATAACCTACCGTAAATGTTCTAATAAAAACACATCTCTAATGCAAGCACACCCTATGACAGGATCGAAAAATAAAGGCACCACAGTCTCTAATTGAAGGAACACCTATTCATACCCTTATAAGCACACCCCTATACATTTTTTATTATTTTCGATTTATTTTTAAATTTATCAGCAACATTACTTTTAAAATTTTAAAAATATTAAAAAATAATTTTAAAAATTTTATTTTAATTTAAAGAGACTCAGAATGGAGTCCAGTAATGGAATTTGCAGACTTTCCTTGGGTGCCTGTTATCGATGGAGAATTTCTTGTAGAAAATATAGAAACTTCCTTAAAACGAGGAAATTTTAAGAAAACACAATTATTGGCTGGAAGTAATTTTGATGAGGCTAGAAAATTAAAAGAAAATTTTAGAAACTTTTTTTTTATTTTTAAGGCAATTTATTTTATTGTCTATCAATTAGCGGTAAAGTTTAATTAAATTTAATAAACTTTGGGGGTCTTTGGGCATTTGTAAAAATGACACTTTTTGGGGACACGGAGCCTTGAATTTTTCAATATATTTCTAATCACTATACCAAAATTATTTTTTGAATTTTTTGAATGTTTTTTTGAAATTTTAAAAACCTGAAATTTATGAAAATGAGTGGTTTTTAAAACACCCCCCCCTCACCTCCCAGAAAATAAAATCTGTATTTGACTAAAACTCAAAGCCAAAAACCGGGGTTAGTAATCAGTTATGGCCAACCCTAATTCAAATTAGATTTTTAAAATCTATAAGTTTTATAAGGCTTTACCCTTATTATTAATTATAAATTTAAATTAATATATTATTTTTTTTCCCAATACAGGATGTATTCCCTCCTGCAGAATTTTTTGAGAAAAAGTTTGAAAAATTAAAAATAATTTCGAATTTTTATTTTTAAGGGACTTTATAAAAAGTAGAGATGTTTGGATTAAAAGTGTTTCTAGTTTACTTCCAAGACAAGTATAATTAAAATTTAAATTAAATATTAATTAAAAAAAGATATTAAAATCATCCCTTGCATTACAATCAATTTTAAATTATTATGAACCTGAAGGTTTACCTATAGAATCGAAACATTGGGTAGATAGGTAAATTGAAAGTAAAAAATTTATTTAAAAAAATTTTTCAGTCTTGATAAAATGCTTGGAGATTTTTTATTTACTTGTAATGTTAAGTAAGTGGATTTTTTGTGGTGTAAATTGAAAAAAGAAATCTGAAAATTAAATATTTTAATAAATTATTAATTAGTAGTTTAGATTTAAGATGTTTTTAGTGAATAGTATTTTTAATTTTAAATTTTTTTAAATTAATTGTATTTATCTTTATTTTAATCTTGATTTAAAAAATTTTTTTTTGATTTTACTACATAGCAATATTCACAAAAATTTAACAAAAATAATTCAGATTTTTTAATAAAAAAATAAATGACTAATTCACATAAATTAATTAACTTTATAATAAAAAGAAAATTAGCCTTAAATTTTTAAGTGAATTTGCTTTGGCACATAGTGAGCATGGAGCAGATACTTATTATTATATGTAATTTATTTTAAATTTAAAAATAATTACTTTTTAATTTTAAAGGTTTTCACATCGGGCATCTCAACAAACTTGGCCTGAATGGATGGGTAAAATTATAGCAAAATATCTTTATTGAATGAAAATGTTATAGGCGTTCTGCACGGTTACGAAATTAATTTTATTTTTGGTGAACCTTATAATCGGAAACAATTTAAATACACAAAAGAAGAACAAGAATTGAGTATGTGGAATTTGAATATAATTTATATTAGAGTTGGCGGATCTGTGTATTCGTCAAAAAATGGCCGGATCTCCGAAAATTTCGGTTCGAATATCGGATCCAGATATCCAGGGATTTCCCAGAATCCGTTAACCCAACTCTAACCTATTATATTTTTCCTTAATAAAAATTTAATTTTTAAAGGTTCTCGTTTTATGCGTTTTTGGGCAAATTTTGCACGTACAGGCGACCCAAACCGCAATCCAGACAATTCTTATATTTCTGATTGGCCTCCATATAATTCAAAAACTATGGAATATATAAATTTAACAATAGAATCAGATTATATACAGAAAGGTGCTAAACGAATAGGCACTGGTCCAAGAAGAAAACATTGCAATTTTTGGAAATTTATTCCAAAATTAATTTCTATTTCTGGTAAATTTTTTAAAAATTATTTAATAAAAAAAGGCTGTGTAATGTAGTTGGGGTCAGTCCAGAAGCCCTACACTCCAAAGACATCACAGAAGACCCACATCATTTTGATCAGCAGGTCAACAGGTCTTTAGGGTGTAGCTCTTTTGGAGTGGACCCCCCCCCCATATATGTAGTTTACTACTTATTTTATAATACCATTTTCCAATAATTATTTTGGGTAATTCTGTGGGGAGGGAGAACAACACAGTAGACTTTTATTTAAAAAATCAGTTTCTTCCTAATCTTTGCAGAGAGACGAGAAATTTGCAAAATTTAGGAATTTGAACTGAATTTTAAGGAAGATATACTCTAATTATTCCAACAGGGAAATGTGAACCAAAAAAACCTTAATAAATAAAATTAAAAAATATAAGAATTTTCCTAAATTTAGCTGATTTGGGAGAATCTTTTATTAAATGGAAGCAACAAATGGATAGATGGGAAAATGATTATATGCCAGAATGGGAGGCAAGAAAATTTATTTTTTAAAAAAATAAAGAAATTAATTTAGAATCATTTTGAGCAATATAAACGCCATCAAATGTATAGAAGAAAAGATGAAGGTGAAGAAAATGATGCTTGTGGAATAAAATAGAATTTATTATATTTAATTAATAAATTGTGATATGTAAAATTAAACGGGTTCTAAAAAATTAAAAAAAAGAATTTTTTTAATAAAATTAAAATTTAATTAAGAAAACTTCAAAAATTTGATCTCCCGATGAAGATTGAGGTTTGAGATTGAGTTAACGAGAATATACTATGTCTCAAAAACTAAATATAATTTTATTTTTAATCTAGATAACCGATTGCATTTAGCCTTTCCTATTTTGTCTTTTCCCGCGTAAATCGTCTTTAATATGTATAAATAGTATTTATACATATTAAAGACGATTTACGCGGGAAAAGACAAAATAGGAAAGGCTAAATGCAATCGGTTATCTAGATTAAAAATAAAATTATATTTAGTTTTTGAGACATAGTATATTCTCGTTAACTCAATCTCAAACCTTTTGTTTAGCCTTTCCTATTTTGTCTTTTCCCGCGTAAATCGTCTTTAATATGTATAAATACTATTTATACATATTAAAGACGATTTACGCGGGAAAAGACAAAATAGGAAAGGCTAAATGCAATCGGTTAGTGTTTCACCGGAACCGAAATTTTGACCGGAACCGGAACCGGAACCGGATCCAATTTAAGTTCCGGTTCCCGGAACCGGAACCGGAACTTTTCAAAGAACCGGAACTTTTAAAAAAATTTTTGCTAGCACATTTTAAAAAATTTTTATTTTAAGTAGGGGTGCGGTTTCGCCAAATTTTTCGATTAAATTCTGCCAAATTCTTCTGTTAATCGAAACGAAAAAAAATCCAAGTTTTGGAAGACCAAATCCCCAGCTATTCAATCCCTGATATCTAACTTGCACAGCTCATTCCCTGGACATCACTTTACCTTTTGTGCTTCAGTCATTAAACTTTGATCAAACATTCTTTTGAATACTTCGCTATACTGTGCTAGAACACAACGATGTGTTTTTATAATTTCGTGATCAACCTGTTAATACAATAATTGATAGAATTAGTAATTGATTTAGCAAAACGGGGAATTTTTCCCAGAATTGGCGAAAACTTTACAACTCAAATTATCAAAACTATGAAACTAGAATGCCTGACAAGTTATAAAAATTGTTTTAAGAAATTTTACTTTTATTTCCAAAGTGCCCTCACAATTCTAAAATTTTATTAAAAATCTAATCCCAAACCTTAATAACAAAATCAGTAAATGTTTCCTTTTCCAACATCTTACGATAAGTATCTTGCAAATTGTAACAAAAAATTTAAAATTAAAAAAGACATAATGCCAAACATAATGCCAAAGTTAATAAAGAATATAAATTTAAAATTTGTTTAAAAATTCTTTATTTTGTGTACAAAAGTAAATTTTATACACCTTATTTAATAACTTTAACAATTTCTAAACGATATTTTAAAAATTTTTAAAGAAAAATAAGTCAAACTGCAGATTATTATCAGTAAAACTAAATTGTTGAAAACAAGAAAATCTGAACTTTCAATTTTCCCCAATTACCCAAGTTTCGACTTCTTGTGAAAAAAATTATAGAAAAATGTTTTATTATAAATGGAAAAATTTTAATAAGAGATACATACATATTTATTTAATAAATTAAAAATAAAAAATAGACACGTTAGGAATTTTTTAAATTTTATCAACAAAAATTGTAAACACGTTCTTATAACACCTTCTCGTCTCTTGTTAATTGTTGTTAAGCTTTTATTCACTCATAAGCAGCCTTTATACGCTGTAAAAATAAAACATGATTAACGTAAATAAACTTGAAATTTATACTTTTTCAAGTGTTGGAGCACCATATAAGCTAATTATTTTTACGCATTTTAATACGTTTGTGCCATCTAAAAGAAATTAAATTTTATTCAAATAACACAATAACACAGGGCCTTTATTGAAAAAATTAGTTTGGATTTCTTAAATTTCAACTTATATTAGTAAATCTCCATTAATACTGTTATAAAAATTATTGAAAATTCGAAGCAATTTGACTAAATTTTTCATCATATCCAATCCAAAATTGAGATTCTCATTAATTTTTTAAAATCTATGCAGTCTAATTAATGCTATTATTAGTGAAAATCATCCATACCTAATTGTGAAGCCATAAAAAGCTCACATTTGTATTTCAATTTCTCCACTTCATATTTATGTGCAAGAGCAAAAATACCTTCAACATGACTTTCCCATAGGGCTTAAATTTAAAAAATAAATCTAAAAATATTTTTTTGACTAAACTTTTAATATCTCCAGTATAAAAAAATTCCAACATTGCACGAACATATATAGGAGAAGAATCAGAAATTATCAACTCACCCTAAAAAATTAAAATATCAATGTTGACAATATTTTTTACTGTTTAGACTGAAGGATGTTTAAAATCAACTTTATCGACATTTTAAAATACAGTAAATACTCTAACTAAAGCCAGGTCATATCTAATAGTATAAGCCTATCCAAAGTGACCCATTGAAATATAGACGACCTTGGCTTTAATTGGAGCAATTACGGTATACCAAAACCATAACATTCAGACATTTCTGTCGAGTTATAATCGAAACTAAAAAGCACACAGCTTAATCATTTTTATATTCATAAATTGTATACCTTTTGTGCTTCAATCATTAAATTTTGCTCAAACATTCTTTGGAAAACTACACTATGTATTTTGTGCTAAAACACAACGGTGTGTTTTTATAATTTCATCGTCAACCTGTTAAATTAATTTAGGTAAAATTCCGTTTCTCTAAAATTTCATCTAATCCCAAACCTTAATAACAAAATCACTCAATGTTTCATTTTCAAAAATTTTACGATAATTCTTTTGCAAATCAAGAGTTAAATTGTAACAGTCAAACTCGACTTCACAATGAAAATGTAAAGAACCTAGAAAGGTTTTTCATATTTTAAGTTTTTATCATATTTACCATCATCTAGAGTTAAATCTTCTAATAAAATATTAGAATATCCCATCTTATCATTCTTCTCCAATTTGTATGTGGATCTAAGGAGGAAATAAAGGTATTTTAGAGAAATTATTAAAACTTGGCGATCACTGTGTATGCTGGAAATTTCCCTGCATAAATTTTATATTTTGTATTCACAAAAGTATTTGTATTATCCGGTCCTATTTGACGAAGCCAAACAGCTTCGTCAAATCCTAGGACCAGATGTAACTCCCATCCCAGAGTAGGAAATTCATAACTGGAAAATCGTTCACCTGCAAAATTTAAAAAAAATATACATATTCAAACAAACTAGCAAAATTATTACTTGTCAAATGTAGATGTGTGCTGAAAGATAAAGCGTCTTTAATCTTTTTAATATTGTAAATAGACCAATCAAATTTAAATGTAATAGTTTTCATCTAAAAGAAATTTTCAGGTAGGAAGATCTCAAAAATGGTTATTAGTTTCGGAAAGCTCTTAGGATCAAGAGCTTATTCAGCTAAGCCAACCTTTTGATATTTTGTATTATGGGTACTTAAGATTAAAGATGGACGGTGAGTGGGCTTGGTCAATATCGAAAAATCGAATCGGTCCGGGCTCTACTACTTAAGATTCATAATCTTAAAAAGATTCATTTTAAACTTTATAACCCAGGCCTAATATATTTAGATTGAACTCTCTCAAAGTAATGAGTATCTAATTAAATATGTCTAACAAATTGAACTATTTATTGAAATTAAGACAACTACAAAATAAAGCCATAAATGAGAAATCCAACAAGCTATTTATATGAGTAGTAAAGGGTGGGAAGTAAAGAAGGATTAAATATAAGATTGATCTTTGAGTTATTTAAGCGGTAAATAAGAAAATATAAAGAATAAATTCAAATAATGTTTCGGGGAAATGTTGAAAACACCGTTTAAAGGACAATTTGAGGGAATAGTTTGAATAAATGGGAAAAAACATTAAAGTAAGACTACCAAGTAAAAATTTCTTCTAATAAATGTTTAAACTTTTATTTTGTTTAAAAGACAGGAGTTAAGCATAATTAATAAAGAAAAAAACTAATCATTCATTTTTTGAAAAATAATACGTACATATTTATCAATACATTGGATAATTTACATATTTATTTGTATTATTCCCAATTTCCAAATATCCAATTTCCAAAAACTTCATAGCCAATTCTGGATATATATTTTTAATATTTAAAAAATAAATGGTTTGAATTATATGTAGAACTGGGATATACCAAGGTTTGGCGGTTAATGATTGCAGAGACAAAAGGTGCAATCACTGGCATTCCGAACCAACTAAGGTTGGCGGATGCGGATATCAGTATCCGAAAAAAGACCCGATATCCGAACATTTCTGTAGGATCCTAGAATTTCCAAGAATTCTTATGCACTTTGTCTAATAAATTGAACCATTTCTATAAGATATTTAAATTCTAGGAAAGAAATAACTCAAAA